TTAGACCAATCTCTTATGACTCCCCACTTGGACCCAACTCTAGCCGTTCCAGTCAACCTTTAGCCTCCCCAATCCTCGACCCTGCAAGTGTAAGTTTAATAAATAATTGCAGTAAAGAGAAGAAATCCTCTGAACATATAACTGAGTGCATCCATTTCGTGGACGCTAATGATATTAAGGATAATGAAGACGTCTTTGAGGATGGAACAAGAGCAATTGAATTAGACTCCCTGAATGACTTAAACCCTGAACTAGGAAAGTTAGAACCTTTGAATGACGACACTTTAGCCCACCCCGATCCTAGTCTCCTCGAGGATAAGTCTTTGGACAAAGTATGCTTGGATGATAGTAGTGTGATCTCGGAAGAAACCAACTGGACTTCGAACACTTTGGATTTAATTTTGGAAGATCCTGAGTTAGTTGTAACACCTACTAAGATTATTCCGGATAATTATGATAATTCTGATTTAATTTTGGATAATTCTGATGACGACTTAAATAATCTCGAGTTGGAAGTAAGTCAATCGAATTTATTACCGGATCCAAGTGAAACGGAACCCATGGATCTTAGGGTCGCAACCAAACCCGAGTCTCTTTCGGAAGACTGTACTTTGAGTCTGAAAGCTTTTGAGCATAATTTGTACAATAAGTCATCTTTTGATTTGTTGAAGCCTATTTTAGGAACTGAAACAAAACAAGTCTCACAACAAATTAGATGGCCAGTAATATAATCAAATAGTATAAAACTGAAACAAAACGAGTCTCACGACAAATTAGATGTCCATTAATATAATCAAACGGTAGAAAACTTTTGGAAGGGAAATAATACACATCTATTTAACACACATAGGAATAGAAGAAAATTAGAATTATTATTGTCATACTTGATGCTATATGATTTTGTATCTTAGTGGTCTTATTTATAGCCCACAAAAGATCGCAAATAAGAAACTTCTCAGAATCTATCAAGATCTAGACATATAGATCCTCATGAATTCCAATAGCATCAAACCTTGCATATAAAGTTTAGGTTGTGATTTGTGTAGTCCAATTCTTAGGTTCTCCTATAAAATGCCCAAAACAGGCAGAGTGAGCACAAAAGGTGAGCTGACAATGATCATATTGGAGGCGACGCATTAGTAATAGCAGGAAACAGTAGCACGGATAGTGGCATACTAGAGAATAGGAAACAGAGGCAACAACAGAAGCAGGAAATAATTGTGTGAGTAGCAAAATGTTAGAGAGTTAGCGAAAACAGTAGAGGGAAACAAGATAACGTATGTATGTCCAAATGGAAAGAATAAGCTGAAGAGAAAGAGAACCAAATGGAAAGAATAAACCATGGCTGTATGTCCCAACAAAATATTGAATGATTTGACTAATGAGGGTTTTTTTGTGATGAGGATTTTGCATAAACTGACTTGTTGAAATGGGAAAGAAATATCAAGTCCAGTAATTATTAAATTGGTTAAGTTGTCTACCAATTGCTTGAATGTAGTGGGATAGGAACAAAGATCATCTTCCTCATGCAATACTTCGTGTTTACTTCTAAAGGAGGGTCCACTTGAGGAGGTATTTTGGAGGACAACCAAAATAATTAGATCCTATGTATATTTAGATTAGCTTAAAAATGTACTAGAGACAATAGTGTGAACCTCCAAATTTAAGTTAATTGTATGAAATATAATTTAAAGATGTTGTAGATGACTAATTAAAGGTAAATTTATTCAAATAATAATGATGTTATCACATAAACCAGAAGAAGAGCAAACCCATTGGAAGTCTTACAGAAAAATAATATTGAATCATATTGGCTCTATTTGAAAGAGAAATTAATTTTCAAAATTTATCATGTCATACACGAGGAGCATGTTTCAGTATATATATGGAACACTTTAGCCTGCATACTTCAATAGGAGGAGGCAGGAACACCTAGTGGGAGGGCAATGTAGATTTCCTTTTTGAAATCATGAATAAAGTCATTTTTAACATCCATTTGGTAAAGTGGTCATCCTTATGAAGGGGCAATTGAGATAAGCATTCATACTATAGTCTTTTTTTTATAAGAGCAAAAGTTTATTCATGGTTAATCCATATTCTTGTTTGTTGCCAAGAACAATTAACCATATTTTGTAGCAATCTAGGGTACCATCAAAATGGAGTTTGGTTGAGTAAGCCCAATTGCATGATTGCATCCTATGGATTTTAACTTTTGGAGGATATTGAATAATCTCCAAATTATGATTATCTTCAAGAACTCAAAATTCTTCCGTCAGTCTCTTTCTAACAGTAATGTTTATTGCCTATGAATAGCTTAAAGGAGTGGAAACCAATGTCAATGTGATGTGAAAGCCCTACTAATTGGAGGATGACAAAATCTGGAAGATCGTTTGAGAGCAATAATTAAAATCTCATTAGCAAGCTCAGGTGGCAGATCAATTTGCATAGGCTCGGATGGAGGATTTGGCTTATGAGATGGAAGAGTTTAATGTTTTTTCATATATCAATTTAGGTTTGAATATTTCAGGACTAAAATTTGTTAATAAAAATTAGGGAGAATAGAGATTTCTGGTAGAGGTTTCACATGTTCAAAGGATACGACATGATGAGATTCCAAATCTTTTGAAGTATAGATTATAGTCACATAGCCTTTGGGAGAAGTGATATAGCCGATAGATCCACATTTAATAAATTGAGCTGAATGTTTATAACGTTCATGTGCTATTAGATGGACAACAAATGTAAGCAAATGTTTGCAACGTTTGGATGCTTCTAAAAAAGATGATGATAAAAAAATGTCCAACTCTTAAGATACAAGTGGATAATATAGTAATTTGTTAAACCACTATGTTTAACGATTCAACCTAGAGTGCAAATGAGTCGAGTCGAGCTCGAGCCAGGGGGTGTTCGAGTTGAGCTCGACTGTCAAATACCGAGCTCGAGCTCGAAAGATGAGCTCGACTCGTCTCACGAAACGAGTCGAGTCTTGCAGCTCTTCGAGCTCCTGCGTCATCCGCGAATCCCACTCCTGCTCGCAGTCGTGCTTCGGCTCCCACTCGCAGCGAAGCCAGCTCCCGCAGTTGCGCCCACTCCAGCAGTCCTGCTCCCGCTCGCGGCGCAGCCGCGACCCGCTCCCTCTCTCGCGAAGCCCGCTGTCTTACACGAGCTACTCGACGAGCCATCGAGTCGACCAGTCGAGTGTCCGAGCTCGAGCTTGATTATGTAAAAAAGAAATGGTAGCATGCAAAGCATTGAATGATTTGCTCAATCAGTTTTATCTCTCTAATTAGATAGAGAATAGTCATATCCT